CAGAGCCCCAGTACCAGCCTGGCGAGAACCTATAGACTCGGAGCTCCTCCTGGCACCAGGGACGCTGCTGTCCTCGCCATGGGGCACTGAGGGCTGGCCTCCCTGCCGAGGGGCCGGTTTTTTGTGGATCAGCCCTGGAGTGGGATGGGCATCATGTCTGGATGCAGCCAGGGGAAGTGCTGGGTTCCCCCGTTGCTCATTAAGACTTCTGGCCGGTGTTTAATGAAGCAGCACCGTCCCGCTGGCGAGAGGAGCCCGTGGGCACCAGCAGAACCAGCTCGGGAGGGCAAGCGGAGCATCTCCCTCCGAGAGACTTGGCTTTCAGGAGACCTTTCCCCTGCAGCAGCTCTGGGGTGAGCCCAGAGGAATTGGGGGACAGCATCACCCCACCTCATACACAGGCCCCTGGTCTCCTGCACCCCCTTTCTAAATCAGGACAAATTTTCCTGCCCTTTTGCCCTTGGCTCCAGTTCTCCTGAGGGTGCTGGCAGAGATGTTTCACCATGGGGAAGGCACAATCCGTGGCGGGATCGGACGGGGCTATGTGCTGGGGCGGCGGTGCCGGCATGGGGTGGCAGTGGAACCCTTCCTTGGGCATCCCTCCAGCCTCGCCGGCTAGCAGGCGCCAGGAGCGTGACATGTGGCTGTTCATGGCTCCGGTGACTGGCACCATCCCGTAGGAGCATCTGGGCATGCATTCAAGTCTTCCAGCTGCATCTGTCCCCCCAAGGGCCCTATCTTGTCTCTCCTGGGAGCAGCACCGGGGGTGTGCTGGCAGAGCCCTCGTCTTGCCTGTGGCCAGCTGCACCATCCAGGCTGCGCTTTCTCACACCAAGCACTCCTGGTCTTCCAGCCAGTCCCTGGGGAAGTGGACCACAGCCCCACCAGCCACCCTCCCCGGCTCCACAGCTTTCCCACCCACAGAGTCCCCCAGGTGGCCCTGCTGCCAACTCTGCTGTCACCACAGGGCTTGGGTGCATGGCAGCTGTGGCTGTTCAGGGTGTGGGAGCATTTTGGGGGAAATACTCATCTTTCACAGGTGTTTTTGTCCACATGGTACGTTTTTAGCTGCCTTTCCCCCCACCCCTCACGTGTCGACGGCCAGGCCCCAGTCCCCATGCAGTGGGAGCATCCCCAGTCATGGGCCACCATCCTGGAAGAGAGTCCTGGGAAGCACTGTGCCCCACGGGAGACATTTGCATCCTCATCACCCCCCTGCTCGCTCCCAAAGGCCTCAGCTGTGTTCTGGTGTTGGGTGGCTATCCATGCCCAGCTTTGCCCCCGCACTCATCCTATGGGGCTGAACCGTGGGGCTGAACCCCTGGGCTTGTGGGGCAGCACCCAGCCCCTGCACCCTCCCCCCCAGCGCCTGCTTGTACATAGCCCTCGAGCGGTCCCCATGCCCTCCCAAATGTTGACTTAGTTGCATGTGTTGTTTTTCCCCCCCTCCTGTGGCTGTACCCAGCTGGAAACCCCTTCACCCCAGTGGCTCGCAAGGCTTCTCGGGTCCTGGGCACCCTCCCTCAGAAAGACCTGGAGCTTTTCAGATGCTCTCCTGCACCTGGGGTGGGATGGGGGCTCGAGGGGGTGCTGCGGGGCAGGGGTGCTGGCACGCACGGGTGGGAAGGACCCAGAGAGCGGAGCTGGCAGCTTCCCCTGCCTCTCGGTCCTTGGGCAGTGGGCTTTCTCTGCCTCCCCATCACTTGTGGGATGGGGTTTCCCTCTGGCAGCAGACCCAAATCGTCTCTCGCCAGGTGATGGTCATGGTGCTGGTGACCTGTGAAAGACCGGTGGGAGCAGAGCCAACCAAAACCCCCTCCCCAAACCTCTGCTGGAGCAGGGCCTGGGCACGCCGTTGCCTCCCACTCGCTCCCACAGCTCCCCGGCCACTTACTTATGAACCAAGTGCTCACTTGGTTGGTTGGTGGCTCCTTTTTAATGAGTAAAACCTTCAAAACCAGCTTGAGCAGGCTCTTCAGCCCTGCATGGAGGGATCCTGCTGGCTTGGAGAACAGCAACCGGTTTAATGGATTTTTTTAAGTCATTTTGGGACTCGGAGCCTTTTCTCCCCCACCCCCCCAGCAGATTTGCTGTGCCTGCATTTCTGCGTTTGGGCAGGGACTCTTCAAACCTTGATGTTCTGGGTCTTTCCATGTTTGCACCCCTGGGACAGGTGGCTGCCATGTCCCCATTGGCATTGCCAGAGGAGCCCTGTCCTGTGGCAGCCGGTCCAAGGAGTGGTCTGTGCCATAGCTATGCCTAAATTATACAAAATCCCCATCCCCAGGAGAAACCTCTTAAAACTGTAATGTGCAGAAGCCAGATTTGATCTAAAAGCTGGGGAGAGAGAAGGCCAGAGCATGTGTTAAGGTTTGGCCTTTGGCTGCCTGCAGCACGCGCAGGGTCTTGCACGAGCGCAGTGGGATGGGAACGGGCTTAACCCGGCGGTTTCATTTTCTGGCTCTTTCTGGCGAACAGCAGAGCCGGGAAGCACCCTTGGCACAAGGAACACCCTGGGCTGGCTTAATTCCCGTGGCTTTTGTCAAGCTCTGACAAAGAAGACAGCAAAGCAATCCCGGAGAAGCCCCCCTGCACACGCATGTCTACGTGTCTGTCTGTCCATCCGTGTGTCCATGCAGTGGTTTTGGTGGGACCCAGCATCTCTGGACTTGCTGCTGCAGCCAGCACGACCTGGAAGCCCCATGGATCGAGATCCCCTCCTCTGTCACCACTGTCGTCTGCCAATTTATTTTTTAAGCCAATAAACTCTAGAGGGAAACTCCCACCTAAGGATGCTCTTTGGCTTCCCGGGGTCAGTAGCGCCCTACAAGTTATGCTCCTCTGCTGTTACCATTTTTTTAAACAGTGTTTTATAAGATCTCCAACCGACTATGCAGAGAACATGTGGACCTGTGTCTCTCTCTCTCCCCAGCTCCCCTCTCCCCCCACCTGCCTTTTTCAGTGTCGAAGTAAAATAATTAGCTTTTTTTTTTTTTTTTTGGATAATAATAAAACTTTGGAAAAAAACCTGAAAAGGTCCAGCTTTGTGGGTGGTGGGTGGTGGAGATGCTTTGAAACTAATGTTGATGTAAATACTTTGCAATTTGATAATTAAATACAAACAGACCTCACACACACACAAAAAGCGTAGTTCATGTGTGAGAAGAATTCTTAGCATCCTTGGTGGTTCCTGGAGCATGTGCAACACCCAAGTGTGGCTTCTGGTGCTTCAGAGGCTTTTTCCACCCAATGCTTCTGGGATCTGGTGCCACTTCTGCACTGCTGGAGCCATTCCCATCTCACCACGTGGGCTCATGGTCCAGCGCTGCCCCAGCACCTGCTCCTGCAAGAGGAGCCTCATCCCTACTGCTACAAGGGCTAGGGACAGACAGCTGGTGGTGATGGGTGAGCTCCCCATGCCTGGACCGCTCCAGCAGGGAAGCACGGCCGTGGTGGGCGCAGGATCAGGCCGATGTGCTGAGCTAGGATGCAGCTTGTGTTGCTGGTGGGATCCCAGCTGCAGCCATTAAGGCCAAGCAGAGGGCTGTGGCACACGCTGCTGGCATGCGGTGTTAGCCGTGAGAGACCCCAGGGGCTCCTCTGCCACGTCCATCATGGTCCCCCAGCCAGGACGGGGAGCAGCCCTCCCTTCAGTAGAATCTGCATCTGCATCTGCATCTGAATGGATGAGAAGCAGACCTGCTTTTTTAGGATAATCAGTGGGTGCTGACTGGGATCCCTCACTTGGTGATTAAGTAACTGATACATAGCATGGCGTTGGGGTGAGCAGGCCATCTAAAAGTGGGCTGGCTGATGCTCCTTCACCTTCACCTTCACCATCATGGTCTGGGGTGGCTTTAGTGCCCTGAGTGCCTGGGTCTGGCTGCTCCCTCCTCCTTGGGCTCCTAAGTGACTCGGTCTTACTGCTGTGTTTAATGCTTTATATTTTGCTTCCCTTTAAAGCAATTAAGTGATTGAGGGATTATCTCTCCTCAGCAAGTCCCTTGGTCCCTGTGGATGTGTGGGCTGGGGCTGGGTTGGTGAGGTCACACACACACACCCCCCCACCCCCAGGAGGGGAGCTTGGGCCAAGGCTCCTCCAGCTCTCGGTTTTGCCCCTTCAGCATCGCTGCTGAGGATGGGTGCTGTGGTCCAGCCCTGGGGCAGTGCGGGTGTCTGCAGTGGGTTGTGCCTGGGGGATGAAGGGGCTGGATTTTGTACTTCCAAGCCTCACCTATGGCACTGCTCGCTTCCTCCTCTTTCTGTCCCCTTTGCTCTGTGTCCGGTGGTCAGCCTTGGTGGCAGCTGAAGCATCTTAAAAAGATGGTCAGGGCAGTTGGCGGGACGTGCAGCCCACCCTGGCCATGCTCGGTGGCTGTTTTGCCATGGAGTCACCCACCTCTGTGACACCCCTCTCTACTCCCAAGCCCTTTGTAGGGGCCAGCCCTGTGAAATGGGGTGGGAAGGGGGTGACGGTAGCCTGGTGGGGGCAGACGCTTGCTGAGCCGGGAGGTGTGAGATGGGAATCACTGCCGGGGTCCACTCTAGCTGGGCAGATGTGGCTGGGGATTACACCACGTGTCTCCCTTAATGGACTTAATCTTGCTGTTTGCTTCATGCGCATGTTGTGCCCTGTAAACCCAGGAGAGGATTTGGGTGTTGGGGTGGGGGCTGTGGCTGCTCCCACAGCAGGTCTGGTGAGGAGGTGGGGGTCCTGTGCTGGGCAGTTTGTGTTGGCAGTGGGTTTCTAACATGGCAAGGATGAGTTGTTTGGCCATTACTTCCCCTATAGCTCAGTGATAGCAACCCCAAAGTGTGTTCAGTCCTGGCTCTTGATCCAGGCTCCCAGAGGTTAAAGGGGGAAAATGCTTGTGAGTATGCAGGGGCAGCCCTGACCCGCTCTGTGTGGTGAGGATCCCCTGGAACCAATCCTGGGCAGTGCTGCACGTCTGGGGTCTCTCCCATAGCCCGGACCGAGCAGAAGGGCTCCTGGGGCAGGAGCAGGGTGGTGGTTGTTAAAGGGCTGGCTCATGCCAGGCACTTGGGTCTCGCTGGCCATGCTGCTCCAGCCCCCGCTGTGCCTGCTGCTCACTGGTAGCACGGGAGGCTGCTGGCACGCGTCGACTCGGGGAACAAAGCCTGTCTCTGTCCCCTGTGCACTCTGTCACTCAGCTCTTGTCCCCCCCCGCAACAGCAGGTCTGGGTGGCACCTGAGCCATCCGTCCTCCCTCGCCCCTGCTACCAGAGAATTTGCCTTTGCTTGGAGGAGTAGCAAAACCCTCTTGCCAGGGTTAATCTCCAAGCTACCAAGGGAAGGGCTAAAGTCCTTACCTGACGTGTAGCTTACCTCCTGTGGCTGAGGGCTAGGAAACCACCCCGGTGCAAGGAGCAGGAGACAGGCAAGACCAAAGGGCGCTGGCAGGGCTCTTACTGGCCCAGAGCGATGTTTGTGGCTTCCCTGGCTTGGGGAGGTTGGCTGGACCAGCCCCAGGGTGACAGCATGAGGCAACAAGGTTGGAGGCTGTGGGAGCCTGGTGCTGTGGGAAGCAGGGCTGCACCCCTGGAATTATCTGCCTCTAAGCCAGCCAGTGGGTGCTTCCTCAGTGGGATCACCCTCTCTCCTCCATCTGCTGCTAAGTTAACAAGGCCACCTTGTAAGCAGGGAGAGCATCCAGGCAGGAGGCACTAATTGCCCAGCAAGATCTGGGGGTGGATGGGCAAATGCTGGGAGTGTGGGCTGGTGGCTGTGGTGGCCCCTCGGTTCTGGGGAGCTTAACTGCCAAACATCAGCCCCTGAGATGAGATGCACCAACATGGATGTCTGACAGATCTAGGGTTCAAAAAACTGTACCAGCCTGGCAGTCATGGCCAAACCTTCTCCACAGGAAGCCTTGTGGTGTCCCAGTTGCTCATCTCGGGGTTACTGCCTCTCCCTGACAAGCAGTGAGGAGAGGAGTAAGAAGCCCCTGGACCCCAAGGTTGGCCAGAGCTACGCTGTAGCTCTCTTCCTAGGGACCTCAGCCTGGGTTTAGTTGTGGTTTTAGTTGTTTTTTGTTTTACTTTCCTGACCCTGCTGTGTCACTGATCTATTATGTGACCTAGAAAATGATCTCTCCTGCAAATGGAAAGACAAAGGAACAGCTTAAGGCTCTTGCTCCCTGTATCTAGGGAGCACCGGGCAGATGGACGTTTTATAATACAGCAAGGTGATGAGGATCGCTCTGCGCCAAAGCCCTTGCAGGCAGTATCCAGGCTCAGCGGGTCCTGGCACAGCACAGCAGTTGTGTTTTAAACTCCACTGCTTTCAGAGTCACTAGTGCAGCTATGCCCCTGGAGTGTCTGCCCACCAGTGTGGTCCCCACACAGAGACCCCTTGGTGCCCCCAGGACCCCTGGGGACAGAGCCACCCCACTGCTCTCCTAGCAGAGAAGCTCTCTGAGGCCAGAGCAAAAACATCTCTGAGCTTTCTCCCGTGTAGCCAGCAAACTCCTGCCCGAGAGCTCAGGTGCTGCGTCTGTACGGGCTCAGGCCCATTCGCAGCACACAGGCAGGGAAGCTGTGATGCTGCTTTTCAAACACCATCGGGTTTGACCTGTTCTGCAGTCATGGGCTGGTTTTTCATGGTCTTTTTATAGAGAAGGATGAGCAGGGCATTAGCATGGGATGTGAGACGTGGTTGGGTTCCTCGCTCTGCCCAAGGCTTTCTGTCTGACCACAATGTTGTTGTTTTAATTTTCTATCTTTAAAATGAAGATGGTATCTCAGTGACCTAAAGAGGGTAAGTGAGTGTGCTGGCGAGGCCTGCACGCATATCAAAGAGTGCTCTTTAACTATGGCTGGGGTGGGAGGGCTGTGAAAAGTAGGCTTCTTCCACATCAGTTCGCCAAGATCTCTCCTGTCGCTGCACAGCAGCCTCCCTCTTTTGAAGTGCTTTTTTTCTCCAAGGTGGGTCTTGTAGAAGGGAGGGTCTCCTAGAAGGGAAAGACTGCAGCTGCGTCTTGTCCTGAACCCCATGTACAAAGCCAGGGCTTGCTCTGGTCCAAAGGACCGTCTGGCTTCGTGGCTAGGATTTATTTAAATTGCTGTAGAGCACAACTTGGCTAGTTAGCAACAAAAATGTACTCTTGAAAGAACTGACTGCATTAGCTTAAATAAAATTAAACTTGAAAGTTGCTCAGAGCGCAGACAGGCATCTTGCCATAGATTGCGAGTGAGAGGCCTTCCCCTCCCCTTTCTATTTTTCTGCTGTAGCTGACATAGCAGCTACCGGGATTTCCCTCAGCCTGACAGGTGACAGAGCTGTCACATCTGTTCTTGGTGATATGGCACACGCTTTTTTTTTTTTTTAAAACATGTAAACAGTGATATGTCCTGAACACTTTCCAACTTGGACTTGGTCTTCAGGGTTTTGGAGCAAGGGTAGAGGAAGCCGGTTTCAGCTCCAGCAGCTCAGTTCCTCTTAACTCCCCGAAGTGCTCTGGGTGCCATCGGATCGCAGTCCTGTCTCACCCTGGTACCTCCTCAGCTCACAGCCAAAGCTGGGGAAGGGCCAACACAACCCAATTATTTCCCCCTGGACGGCTGGCGGCAGCTGGGCTGCAGCCTGATCTCTGCCCACAGCCAGGGACAGCTTGGGAAGATGCGGTGTCATGGGATGGGCTTACACCACGTAGGCACCTGGCAGAGAACGCTTTTACTGCCAGTGCTGGGGATTAAACAGCTTTCAGGACACTGCTCTGTGGTTTAATTTCATAAGTGGTAAGGAAAGGAAGAATCTGTCACAGAAGTGCAGGCACAACCAGAAGCGACCTCCTGTGTTGTGTGTAAAATGAGACTGTTTAGGAATCACCAGTATGGTTCTCAGTCTGCCCAGGGCCAGGTTAAACAGAGAAGTCAATACTGGGAACGACGGGGCAAACAAGCTCTGCCTCTTGCTGGAGTCTCCGGGGTTACTGTGTGGGGAACAGAACAATAGAGACACATACGATTGCTGGGCTAAGGCATCCGCAATGAACAGCCAATGCATCATGCTGGGCAGGAGGCCATAGACCAAAGTTTATAAAGCTTTATTAAACATTTTGAACAGCTGTGCAGTGAACAAACAATACTCTGGAAGTTTCACAACCTGACAGCTTGAACTTCCTTGGGAGAGCAACAGCCAGTTCTGCTGCTCTCCACCATTGGGCTGAAGTAAAGACAAACAGATGGCAAAGGGGAGGGAACCCTTTAAAATTTAGAGACAGTGTTTTGTGTTAACCTCAAAGGTTTCTCACAAACCAACCTCTGCCCCCAGTTGGGCATCCCAAGAGCCATGGCTGCGCAGTGATGTATGCCATGAGCAGCTCTGCACAGCTGCAGCTGTAGGACTGACCCACCACCACCTTGGCTTCTCCATATCCTTCTGCTGGGGGAGCTGGAGACACTAGGCACTCCTCTAGCCTCCCCCCTTCTCCAGTCAGTAGCACCAGCACCTTCTGTCACCCTGGCCTGGAAACACCACCACTGAAAATGGCTGAAGCATCTACTGCTGCAACCTTGGGATCCTCTCCTGTCCTGCTCACATTGGGCTTTCTGGGCTAGCATGAGTTTTGTAGGGTGAGGTTCACAGGGGCTATTCAAAGCCCTGCATCTTGCAGCATACCAGTTCTTTATCCTGACAGTCAATACCTTGGTAAACCCTGGAAATCTAGAAGGAGGGGAAGAGACAGTCGCTACTACCTGTGAGGCTTTATAAAAGCAGCAGCATAACTGAGGCTTTCAGGCTATGATCTCGGAGCATAAGTAGTTCAGAAAGCACTTCGGCAGTGCACGCATCTCTTTGGCAGGCTGAGCAGGAGGAGGTGACTCAACTGCCTCTGGCTCCAGCAGCTTTTGGCCAAGTGCATCTGTGAGCTGTCGAGCTTGCCCTTGATCAGCAAGGCGGGAAGGCTGGCTCCCCACAAAGAGAAAGATGGAGAGAATCTTGTAGTTACTTGAGCAGAATCAGTGGGCCGAGAGCCCTGAGTTGGACCACCACAGCCTAACGCAGACAAGCGAGTGACACACAACTCCACCACTGCGCAACATCTGGGCAGAGGCCAGCAGCTCGGTCCTCAGTTAGGACGGCTGCTGTCCATTCCCGGTGATACGGGAAGGAAACAACTAAAAGATTTCTGCTTCTAAAAAAGCAGGTGGCGCTGCCAGAGTTCACACAGTAAACAAGTTGAATTTCACAGGCAGAGTGGGAGGAACTTACCACTCTAGTCCACACAAAGTTACAGGAAACCGGCTGGTTTTACTCCAGTCACATGCCTAATACCCCCTCCCTCCTCCCTAGCCCACCCCCTTTAAAAGCAAAACAAGAGCCCTCAGCAGACTGGAAGATTATCGTTTTCTAGGTGCCCACTATGCTGGGATCGTGAGCTGATTCCGGCAACTGGGATCCTGTGCAGTGATACAAGAAGCAGTTCCCCCAGCAGCTGTAGCAGATGAGGAACAGAGCTGCCAGGAAGACCAAGGCACAAATCGTGCAAGGTTTCCGTTCCAGGAGGAAACTGAGCAGGTAGAAGCCCATGAACATTGAGTGACTGAACCACAACGCTGGGTTGAGGGGCTTGGGTATGAGCAGGACAGGTAGCAGCCACTGAAGGCAGTACATTGTGGCCGTCTGGCTGGGCCTTGCGGCAGCAGCAATCAAATGTGCTCCAGAACGGTCTTCAGCAACTCTTCCGGCAGGCAAGTGGTCAGGCTGTTCTGTAGGGAGGGATAAAATGTCAGACTGTCAGACAAACGCAGCAAAAAGATCCACAGAAGTTCTTCCCATACAGCTTCATTTACTCCCAAGCATCGTATGCTGGTGCTCAAACTCCTAATACTAAATTCTGGTGTGTCTTGGAGCTGGTGGTAACTTTCCTGCTTTCTGAACCTCACAGCTAGGGACATGATTTATCCATTGCTGGTACAGAACCCCTTATGTGCTCTGTTTCTCAGGCTTTTACCAGGCTGACAGTTCTGAGACCCTCTTCTTTAGCATGGTGCAGGAACAGAAAGGGAGACGGGGGAAAATAGAAAGGGAAACAAGCTGCCACAGCCCTCCCTACACATGTATTTATCCAAGACTGTCCAATGACTTCAGTGATGGTATAAAGGAATGCAACTGAGGGGTAAACTACTAGGTGCTACAAAGAAGTGTTAAGGAAGTGTTAGTGCAAGAAGTGTCTAGTAAGTGTTAAGCACACAAACTGCTTCCTCCCCAGGCACAGACCCAATATAAAGTCTTCCAGCAGGGCAGCATAAAATTCAAGCTGTATGTGTAGCTACCCAGGAAAGCCCTGACAGTGTCCAGGCTGCAAAACAAAGGGGAGGGCAGTCCCTGCTTAAGGGATTTATAATCCTTGCCAATCAGCTAAAGTCAGATAAGACAAAGTATGTGAATAGATCAAAGAGGGGACAGTCTCAAAATGGCAATTTTCGTAAGTGCTGTAAACGCAGGATTTCCTCACTTGGATTATTATAAAACCCTGTGGAAACAGTGTGCTTTAAGGGCTTCTCCACCCAGGGATGGCAGCACATTACAAGTCCAGAAATAAAGCTTCTACCTTTAGCAACCACATCAACTACACTAAGTGCATGGTGTGGTTTTCTTTTTCCCTAAGCAGTTCAAACATCTTCATCCAAGAATTTCAGATAGCTTTAAAAATAATAAATGCCTTACAGAGCTAAAACGGTTGAAAGGGGACAGAAGAATGGAGTTTAGCAGTCTGGGATAGCAATGGCAGGTGAGGCTAGAAGAGATTAATACTGTTGGGAAGGAATAACTGGAAGATTTCCTTCAGTTCATATAGAGGGAAACAACGAGAAGCAGGTACATTGAGAGTCCTAGCTTATTACCCCAAAAAGGCAAAACCACACAGGGGAATGCTGGAAAAGGAAAGAGCTTGGGAAGAGTGCTACCTTGTAGCATATCATGATGACATGCATGCCAGCCAGGAGAGAGGACAGCCTTGCAGAATGCCATGGCCTCACACCCATTGAGCAGACCCTGATCAGAGCAGCTTCTTGCAGCAATCCTTTTATCTGAAAATACTCAACTGAGTAGTGCTCGTCAACAGGATGAAGGGCTGAGCCAGGCCTGTTAGAATTACAACTGGGGGGTGGGAAGGTTAGTAGGATGAAGGAGTGAGAAGGTAAATAAACAGCACATTCCTCTGGCTCCTGTTGGCAGGAGAAGGGATTTCCTGGCAAAGGGAGGGAGAATGAGGGATTGCACAGAAAAGCCAAGAGAAAACCACACATGGTTCTCTTCCAAAAAACACTGAGGTCAGACTTGTCTTACAGCTCTGTAACCTTGTAGGTACCAACCGGGTCTGCTGTCAGAAGCAAGAAGCATGCTGCCATCCACTGTGTTCTTAGCAGCAGGATCTATTTTAATGTTAGTGAGAGAGAACACAGGCCAAAAACTCCATGAGGGCAAACAGATTAAGAGTATTTGGGGAAAGTATGCTGGCGCTCCTGCAAGAGCGTGTTCTCCAGCAGAGAGGGCAGCTGGGGTTCAGTTAGTAAACTAAACTGCAGTTAGGCAGCCAAAGAATAAGGAAGAAGTTATTTTCTGCTGCAATATGGATACAGTCAAGCGAAAATAATAAAACTCCCCGTGTTAGTCCTGCTTTATGCAGGTCACTCACTCGTAGCTTTAAGGGCAAGTCTAGTCCCAAGACTGTTTCCCCCATCTATAAACTGGAAATAAGGGTTACTCATTTCATAAGAAAACATGCTGTCTGCTAGCCTGTGTGAATGGCTTAGATGTTTCTGGAGTAAAAGTACTGCAGAAGTATTAGATGACTTTTTCCCAGGGGGAAGAATGGAGAGAAAAGATTTAACAATAAATACTTGAACAGAAAGGTAATTAAACCCTACCACCCAACTTTTTTGCATTGACTACAACAAAGTTGCACCAAATCAATGATCTGCAGCCACCTTAATCCTCATGAAATGTTCCCTCCTTGAAGTCTCCTATAGCCGTTCTCTCCCAAGCGCTCCCAACACTGAGCAGTACAAATCACTGCATAAACATCATGTCATACTTTTGCTAGATCCAGCCCTGAAATCACATCAGTTTAACGTCTGCAGCTGGACACATGCTGCAATGTTCAGGTCACCCCTTCTTGTAGCTTTAAAGTGCCTACAGACAATTGCTTCGGGCTTTGTCTCTAAAGAAATGGATAAAAAACAACCTAAGATGAAGTGTCTGTCAGAAGAGCACAAGGCTGGAACAAAGCGCTAGATTCTTCCAGGACTAATGTCATAAATCTTTCAGCTTTAATAAGGCCACACGTTGCTATTGAGCCTTTAGCCCCCAAACTTTACAACTGACTACAGTTTAAGAGTATAATTATAATTCGTGATGTAGCTGCATTTAACTCCACGGTCTGACCTCCTCACCATGGCCAAGACGTAAGCGAAAATGCTCTAAACAGTGAGTTGATTCTAAGCTTGTAAGCGTTAGCTGAACACTTCCTACAAACACAAATCCATCTCAGAACAAGTTACCCATTTTTAAATATTGTTTTTTCCTGGAAGAGCCAGCTGTCTGTAGCAATCAATGCAACCACCCTGCAGAATGAAGAACCATTTAATAGTGGTTATTTTTACTATGAAGTTTCAATGCCAACGCCCTACAATCTGCAAACCTCTAACAAATGCAGATGTTCGAACAGTTAGTCTTGTATCTGTAGTCAGTTTGCTTGTATTTTCATGTGCCTCTTTGCTATCCACCAGTTCAAGGTGGAAGACCCTTTACTGTATCCCACAGCTGATCTGAGATAAGGTACCTACTACTAGAGACTTCTGCAGCTCTATCTTCCTCAAGGGACCTTCTGCTAGTAAGACACGTGCTCTTCCTAGCTCTTCACTGGACATTCCTTTATACAGCTGGCAGTGAGACCGAGTTCTCTTTCCATGCTATCGGTCAAAGAGAAACAGTGACTCCTGCTATCAACTCTTTACTGAGCAGGGAACTATCACTCCCCTTGGCTTCCAGTCCCTTCTGGCAGCCATAACAATATTCAGTTTCACCTAGATTCTCAATCAAGGTGAAACTTGCAAATGAAAAATTCCTACCTTGTTGTCTTTGTCCCCTCCTCATGATCCAAGCTAAAGATTACCATGTCCCAGAGCAAATAAGAACCTGTCACCCAACAGTATTCTACCAGCTGCCTGTTTCACAACCACATCCTGCTTTTCCTCAACCAGTTGCTCTTGTTCTCCCCTGCCTGACTCACTGCTTTCCTTAGCCAGCCTGGTGTCCTGCTATCCTCAAGACTGCTCTCATGCTCCTGCTCAAGTCATCTGACTTGGCAGCCGCTCATGTTTACCAGACAGCTCCTTTTCATCGCACTGCCCACCACTGCCTCCTCTCGCTCCTCTGCAGCTCTGAGAGCCACTTGAACTTGCTTCAGACCCCTCAGCAGCAGAGAGCAGGCGATGCTCCTGCTACTCTCCCTGCAGTCAGTGCTCGGCAGCTCCGTCTGATCAACATGTGCTGCCAGAGCCTCCTCCCTGCCAGTTCCTGCAGGCAGAGGAGCAGCCTGGGGAGGTTCCCTGTGCACCTCATTAGTAAGCCAACACCAATACTTTTCCACATGCTTATTAATTGTCTTCCATCATGTTCACAGCCCTTCCTTCTGTCGTCTTCCCTCCCAAGAGCATTCAAAACCAGCAGGCCCTACTGGCACACATTTGTGGGGAAGATTTTCAAATTCCAGTCAAGGGTAGCAGCACACCTTTCCCAGCCAGAAACAAAACTTTAATTATAAGTGAGTAGCACAGCGCAAGTCTGTAGCGCTTTGCAATGCATCAGTCACATTTTAGAATAAATCCAACTGAGGAGCTATGACATTGTTCCTTGATATTCTACAGGCTAATTCAGCCATTAAGAGGCCAACAGATGTTCCTACACCATAGGTTTTATACATCTGTATGCCAACACCAAGCTTGTACCTTTCTCAAGGATGTCTTAATTCCTTAACAGTCCATTTACCTTGACAGGGGAGAATAATCAGCCGGCTTTCACTAAGCACTTAAAAGGTAAGCTTGTTCAGACCTTACTAAGGCAGCTATTAAGCCAGTACTGTCCGCAAGGAACTTCCCCAGAAGATGCTACAGAAGCAGTCACCCCAGCTGGCAGCTGAAGGGTCTGCAGTCAAAGACTGAGTAACCTTTTTATTGGGGGGAAGGTGGTGCCAATCTCCCCCTTTCCCAGAAGCCAAAGTTTCTGCTTGGGAATAAAAAGCCACATTGTCTAGATAAAAATCTCTGAAGTTACACTGTGCACATAAACTTAAGAGTAAGCCTCAGGGACTTGCAGTTTCTTACCTATAAGGCTCACCTGTAGTACAGTTTGCTTAAAATTGTTTAAATCAAAACCCCTGCCACAGCCACGTAACTTGAACTGATGTGTGTGGGCAGCGCTTCATGCTGCCAGCATGTGTTCAAAACAAACTCTCAAAACAAACTCTCAAATACCATGTAGCACCCAAAACAGCTGCTAAAAATACACAATATCCAAAGCATTGGGAGGGGAAAAAAAAAAAAGGTAAAAGAGCTATTGAGTGACGAGTTCGAGGAGTTCAGCTAAGAAAAGCAATAGCAGACCAGCTTTCTGGATGCTAACCCTCTCTCTCAAAAAAACTAAGAACTGTAACTGTTCAAACTTTAAGACCTATTTGCAGTACCAGGGATTTCACTTCTCCAGGGGCTTTTTTAGCCCTTGCTTCTATTTTCTCTATTTTTTTTTAAAGCTTTATCTGCTGGTATGACTCAGCTGGAAAAAGTGAGTCTTCAATTTTTGGCAAAGGCCTTGCCCCAGTCCTTGTTAAGTTCATGCCTTGAACACTTGATGTAGACTCAGAAATGCTGCAATATAATTGGAAACAGTTTCCAAGAGCAGCAAATCCTTGACTGACCAAACCTTGGGGTTAAGAAGTATTCCAACTTCTCAAGCCAAAGGAACTAATTTCATGAAAAGTGGGGGCCCTCTGATGAGCCACTCCCTTCACGATTTCCATAGCTGCTCTCTGAGCTTCATTGCCAACTGGGGAATTGATTAGCCTGTATCCAGAGGTAGTGCCGTGCACTCACAGCACGAGGGCCAACAAACCTCCACCTGCCAGCAGGAAGGCAGTGGTATGATCTGTGTTTCCCTGCACAGTACATCACAGAAGCAGAACCTTAAGTCAGCCAGCTCTGTGGTGGGAAGAGATGTCATCAACAGTTATCATCTGAAGTATTACTACTTTCATTTGTGCTAATTTATTAATTCTCAGTGGCCCTCATTCCCACCCTCTGCCTTTGTTTAACCGCCAAAGATCATGAATTCCAGGCCCATTCCAAATTCTCTGAAAAATATAATCATTTTTAGTTTTAATTTGGATCTCTTCCCTACCTTTTGTACTTTCAACAGACTTCAGAAGTCTAAATGCAGCCTGATAAAGCCCACTTTTTGAATAAAGAGAGACAAAAATGCCGTATCGGCAGGGGGTTCTGGGGAGTTACGATGTAGAGGTTGGAAAGGCAAAAGTTACTCTGCTACCACAGCATCGGGGGCTCAGTTACAGCGTTTCCGCACGGGGGTTGCGGTGCTGTTGTTTCCAACAACGAGCTAAGCGTGCTCGCAGTCGGCTGGATCCGGCTCCGCTGTGCCCCGCACACGCCCGGCTACGGGATCGCGGCCCTCCCGCCCTCACCGCGCCGAGCCCGGCCGGGATGCGGATGG